TAGTGCGAAGCTTCGGAGAAGAGTCGCGGGTTCTCCGCGACGTTCTCGGTGTAAAAAGGTCAACCGCGCCGGTCACGATCGATCCCGCGATTTCGACGCCCGCAACGCTTCGATCTGCTAACGGTCTACTCGAGTATCAAACTTGGGCCAGCGATATATTGGGACGACGGCGTTTCAACGTCGAAGTTGATCGTTCGTTCCCCTCGTTCGTCTGTTTTGCCACACGCGTCGCGCTCTCTTAACCCTGAAGAATCGACGATGAATACACAGTATCGCTAAAAAAAAGAACAATGTTTACTCGGTGAATGGTATATATAAAAAAATCCCGAGCGTCCCCGTTGTCGATCTGCCGATCGAGAAGCGGCTTCTTGTCCGGTTCGTGGGCCCGGTTTAATGGAGATCAGTCACCGACGATCGTCAGGTGTGCTTCGCGTCGTCCGACGATTCGCTGGCGAACCTTCTTCAGGAACGAATGGAAGACGTTGTCGAGGACGCGGACACGCAACGGTTCAGCTTGCTGTCGATGATGATCTCGTCGCCGTTACGGATGTTGTACCGGTAGAGCTGCTTGTTCGGGTACAGCATCTCTTCCGGACCGTACTGCGCCTTCATCACCTGGATACGTCGACGGGATGCATTAGAGAAGCGCACTTTCGCGGGAATCGGCACACGCTTGCACACAGTTTTATTGTATACCGTGTTGACCCTTGTGTCAATAGTCACGTTTCTAACATTCGATCAGGAGAGTACTGAATTATTATTATGGATATACAGATAGATGGATAAATCGATTATCATAGATTACTATAAGTATATAGATTGCTACAGACGGTTGTAGATAGAATAAATTAGAGATGAATATAGATAGATAGATGAGTATATAAATTACTATAGATAGATTGCTATAAATGACTATAGACGGATGGATACGTAGAGTACTATGGATTACTATAGGTATCCATCTAGAGTATAGGTTACTAGAGGCAGCTTGCCACGTATTACTGCATAGAGCTATAATTAATTGAACGTATTTCAATTTTTCTTAGTAGAGATTAGTAAGTTTTCAATCAAGAAATTCTCTTATTGATTTGTTCGCTGGACTAGAATCACTGCAACACGGTTAGCTGGATTATCAACACAAGGGTCGAGAAAAAGAAAGAAAAACAAAAGAACTTGGTACATCGGCCAACACTGTAGAAACAATTTACCTCTGGACAGTGTTCAACAACTTTCAATATTTTCGCGGGCTCGCCCGGGTTCGTGAGAGAACGCGCGGTTGGGGGGTGGATTTCTATATCGTGATTTCGTGCTTTTTAAGGGGACTCTCGAGAAACCAAACGTTCTGGAAAACAGAAGAGAACACCAGGTAAAGTATCGTAGCTCGTGTCACCTCACCTGGTCCACGTAGAACAGTCTCATCCGGTTCGCCGGGATTTTCACCATCGTTTCCAGCTTGGTTTTCAGCTCGAAAACCGTCCTGTACACGTCCACGGATCGTACCTACAATTTCCATTCACGTTTAACAAGCACCATCGGGTCGTCGAGATAAAATTAAGGAGGAAAGGAAACTTTCTTTGGCGAATTCGTTACGAAGCCATCTGTTCGATTCGGAAAACGAGAAATTAAATCGATTTACATCATCCCTTAACCATTCAAACATACACTAAAACATCATATCTAAACAGACAATTCAACAATATTAATTCTACAATTTTAATCAAGAATAACCAAGATTCCAACGAACAAGCCACTTTCCAATTTTAATTTGACAATGTTATGTCACTGATTCCTGAAACAAAGTATACAAACATACGTTTGCAAGATACAAACGTATAGTTTATTTATGAGAAGGTGCAGTGGAAATTCCTTGTCGGATTGGATGATGTAAATCGATGTTTAGGGGGTTGAACGATACGATCCGTTTCCAACGGCAACAAAAGAAACAGAAAAAAATTGGAAAAACAGGGAAATTTACCTCGACGAGATCTCCGTAAGTGAACGTGACCTTGACCCTCTTCTCGGGCTTCAGGTCGACGTGTACCAGCGGGTCCAGCTTGCCATGAATAGCCACCAGCTCGGAGTACCTGAAAACGGAAGGACTGGGTCAAGTTGGGGCACGCTCGTCTCGCGGCGACATCGCCGCCCGTGAAACTAGAATAGCTTTATGGTTTCTGGTTCGACTAGAATAGAATAGATGAATGCAGGGACCGAGAAGGAAGCGGCAGTTCATTCCCGGCGGGATTCAAGCCAAATTAACCCTTTGCATCTCGGATACGGCGCGGACATATACAAATCGTTGCGATCCAACGCGCCGGTCTCGAAGCGCCGCTCGTTGGAACAATGGCGGCAGCCTAATTTCAACGTTCCCTCGACGTGCAACGGAATAAGTAAATAAATAGGCGTGCGTCGGAATGATACGGCTCGTGAGACATAATAAATCTGGTCATCTATTTCCGAGGTTGCTGGAGATGAACGCGAAAGGGAATCGTGGGGATTTTATAGATTAATGATACGAATTTATAGATTGACATCTGGTAACCGAATGTGACCCATCCGTGTTTATAACGGAACGCGAGTGCCTGCCAAGAGAACCAGATTGAACTGAACATTAACACACTGAGTATCGCGATGATACTTCTGCTGAATTTTGATCGTTTGCTAAGAGACTCGCTGTACGTTTGATTCGATATTCTGTTCGATAATTTTCTATAACAAATATTAACACTCGAAATACTCGATACTTTCCAGTTGGATGTAGAGGAGATTTTGTAAAATTAATTTATCAAGAAATAAATTAGCAAGCTATTTCCTTTCAATATTTCACGTATTGATTCAGCATACGAAGGTTAACGATAAATACCAACGTTTCTAACTTTGCTGTATCAAATCACCTGGGAGTCGCTTCTCGAGTACACAGTTAACTCCGTTGGAGATAGAGGTTCTCGTTTTCCTATCGATTCTATCAATTTACGAATGCCTATTACAAGGCACATTTACGAAGCAAGTGCAGTCCGAATTCAGCAGCACAATTTTTCAATGCAGCGTCGATGAGGTTGCAGAATCTACCTAGAAATAATCCTTGAGCAACGTAGATCTAGTGGTTCGTTCGTTTGTAATTGAGACGCATTGCAGGAACGTTCAGTTTCGAGCGAAAACAGAAGAGCAACGGCTAATTAGGAGGCCGGCGTCAAGAAGTGGAAATGGAAAGACAAGAACCAGACACTGACGGATCTAAATTAAGGATCGAACGATTGAAAAGCGGGCCATGAGACCGGGTTGCCGCACCTTTCAGGCCTGTCCGCTTCCGGTTTGTCCATGTAGTACCGAATGAAGGCCCTTTCGGCGTCCTCGCGTTCCTGCGACGATATCACGCCGCCGCCGTTCAACGTTTCGACGTTCGGCAGCCTCGCGATCAGCAGCTGCCGCCTCTCGTGCTCGGTGTACTCTCGAGGACTCTGGAACATCAAGTTCGAACGTTTTTCATCGAGCACCGGACAGCTCCTCCGATGCAGGCGCGATAGAATCGAGACTCGCGGCCCGAGTTATTACCAGGCCTTCGTTCTATCTTTATCAACGACGTTATGTAACCTCATATTTTGGTGCTTAACGCGTTAGCCAGCTGGTGTATCGCTAGCAGCCTTTGTACTCGCGATGCTTCATTCGATGCGGCTCGCCCCTTTTGCGAGACATTCGAGAAATTAAACGAATCTTCTCGGCGGAGCCTTGTTCGGCGAATGGCGGACTGTTCTTTGTAATTTTAAATGATAATTTAAATGATACGTGAAGAATGAAAGGGAATTTGTTAACACTAAAACTACCGAGAAATTGTTCAGATTTCTATAGCAACTCCAAAAGCGCATCTATGGAGACTTTAATTGATTTATTTAATTTGCATGGTGTTAAATCAATTTCTTTAATAATTCTTCGATTCTTTTTTATCTTAATAATTTCAAGATAACTGGGAACGTCAGGAATCACTTTGACCAGTCTGATAGTTTTAATGTCGAAAGTACGTGAGTCTATTGGAAGATATATAAATTGAATTGACTTATGAGGAACCCTTTGATATAGACGATGAAAGATTAACTTCAAAGGATTAGATCAATGCCACTGGTCACTTAACATCCAGACCCCGACTCGAGCGCGTTTAATAGAGAGAAACGCGAGTCCCGACGATTGAGCCGCGTCAACTTGAAGAGGCTTGTTTTTGAAAACGACACTCGTGGACCCGTTTAAGTCCAGTTGACTTTGTGCCAAGATTTTTCTAGTAAAATGACGGAGATCCACCGGCACGTACCGGATCAACCTGCTTTAATGGTCTCGTATTTTAACGGCGCGAGTTTTACTGCCTTGCTCAACGCCGACGACGCGCAGGTTTGAATTCTTTAATAGGTCACCGGTACATCCGACGAACTCATTCATCCCCTTTACTTCAATGATAACCGTAACTCCGCGAACACACTGTAAACCCTCGACTAACACGATTAATCACTTCCAAATCGCGAAGCTTACAATTAGAAGGCACGAAAACGTAATGATCTCGTTCTGCATTATTAAAAATCGTGTCCTTTCATACAAGAAACATTGAATTTTACTAATAATAATTATTTCACCGATACAAGTTCAGTCTCTCGAAGTGTCCCACAACCGATTAAAATGGTACATTACACTCTAATCGAATTAAGTAACGTCGACGCGAGTTTCAAGGTGGAAAACCCCGAGCAAACCGCAAAAGATTAATAATCTGGTTGTCGCAATTTCTGACCGTGTTACCCGAGACTCCGTGTAACTCAAGCACCGTGTTACTCCGGGATCGCCGGTATATAGTGCAACGCTCATCTCGCCGGTAAGAAAGCGTCAAAAGACGAACACCGGCGGGAAGACTGTAAAAAGAAAAAGTAGAATCTCCGTGGAAAAGATGCTTCACCTCGAAAAGGGGACAGCCCTGGATCCTCAACGACTTCAGAACGGGAAACCTGGCGAGCCTCTCGACGTCGTCCCAGGTGGACAATAAAGTTCCATTGACGTTCAAGAACCTGAGCTTTCTGAAGGGGTCGTGGGAGGACTTGATCGTGGTCCCGCTGGATTCCGATTCCGACTCGGACCTATCGTAATTGACCTTGCCCTCGCCGTATATCCTGTTCCCCTTGCCAGAAACGTTCTCGTCCGCGTCGAGATTGTTCATGTTCTCGTTGTCCTGGCTGAGATTCTCCTGATCCTTCTTCGTGGTGGTCTCCTCCTCGTTCGAGTTCCTATTGTCCACCAGGGCCAGGGACCTCAGAGGACACTCGGCCAGTACCAGACTCTCCAGATTAGGGAAAACGTAGCCCAACTTGGAGATCTCGTTCCAGATCTCGATAGGGTTCCCGGTGAAATGAAGTTTCTTCAGCGAGTGGTTCTCGTTCTCCGCCTTCTGGTAGTCGAGATCGACCGTTTTGTATTCGTTCAGGGACAGGTGCAGCTCCTCCAGGTTGCGCAGCAACCGGATCAGGCCTTGAACCGTCGACCAGGACACCCTGGTCCCGTTCAGGACGAGGTTCTTCAGGTGATCGTAGCTGCCGTGCTTGATCTCCAGCACCTCCGCCAGAGAGTTGAAGCTCAGGTTGACGAACTTGATCTTCGGCATGTGCTGCAGGATGCCGAACACCTCCGTCCACTGGGACAGCTTGTTCTGCGCGAGGTCGAGCTCCTCGACGTTCTTGCATTTGCTGCGCAGCTTCTCGTCGTCGTTGCCCGCCGACTCGATGTCGCAGTCCTGGAGCACCAGCAGCGCGGGCACCGTGTGGCGAGGGGACTTTTTCGGGATGAAAATGCTGACCGAGAGGGCGGCCTTCGGCGAGCTCGACTCGGTCTCCTCGTCGGTGAGGGAGCAGTCGGTCGTTGAACTGCCGTACTTCAGCTCCAGCGCTTCCAGCAGCGACGGCATGTTTACTGCATTCTGAAAGAGGACAGAGACCGCTCTTGTTAGTCGCTCGCCGGGTTCAATTCAGTTTCGAGGCGTGAGGACGCTGGAACTGAGGCTGCATACGCTGTGTTCTCTGGGATGAATGAGGATCGTCGAGGAGATTATTGTTGATAGTGATTGGGAGAGTGATTTCATCAATTATTTACTACTCGAGATGTTATCGATATTCTTTGATATCGTAACTCTTTGGGCAACTGTTCCTTCGGTTCTAGTAAATCTAGTGTCGATCAAGTATGGTAAAATATCATGTACACTCTCTTAATTAGAAATATTCTCTGTCACTATTAATACCTTCAAGTATTACATCAAAATTGGTATGATGAGTTTATAAATTTAATCATACCAATTTTGATGTAATACTTGATGGTATTAATAGTGACTGAAAGAATATTTCTAATTAAGAGAGTGTACATGATATTTTATCATATTTGATCGACACTAGAGATTTAGAACCGAAGAAACAGTTACCTAAAGAGTTACGATATTAAAGAATAATATCGATAATTTCAAATACGTTTTGAAAAAAATTTCCTTTCTAGCCCAGTTCTTCCCAAATGCTTGAGTTTATAAATTTAAAGCATTTGGGAAGAAATGAACTAGAAAGAAAATTTGTTTCAAAATGTATTTGATGGAACTCTTATTTCTTAAATACATGTAAAACACAAAACGAAAACCATGCCAACATATATGGTTCTTATAGCACTTGGTATCACCTCAAAGGTGTAATATACACTGATATCGATGGATGAAAAAGTGGCTGAAAAAAGGAACGAAAGGTGGACCGGCAGATGTTTGAGGATAAAGAGACAAAGGGCAGTCAGAACAACCTGGCGCGAAGCGGCTTTCTACGCCGGGGAAAGAAAGACAGGGGCGTCGTCGTGGAAAGAACCGCGAGACCGGGCATCCTCGATGAATACCTGGTCTGACCATATCCGCTAAGGTCGCGGCATTGTCTTTTTGCGCGACGGAAAACCGGTACCGGTTCCCTTGTCGTCGCTGGAAAACGATTCTACGATCGAGCGTGTATCGCCCACGCAATTCATTCGGACAACGAAGCTCTCAGGACTAGTTTTATTCCCTTACAATCGTGTCGCCTCGTTTTACAAGAATCGCGAACAAAGGCCCGCGATATTTCCCCCAGGAAAATCTTCCGACATTTCCGGTCGCCAAGCGAAGCAAAAAGTCTATCTTTCAATCATTCCATTTCTCTTTGCCAAAACGAAACAATGAAACTAACAAACAGTGAAACCCATAAAAACGAAAAGACACATGAAAACCAAGCAATATAGATATATACCACGAATACCCAATCCTTTCTAAACAAATGGCATTTACGAAACGACACATTAAACTTAATTCATCACAATATTGAAGATACTCAATATTCCTTAACACGTCGAATGCCATGGGGGTCACCGGTGACCCTAAATTCAGTCACTGTAATTCTCTCAATTAAGTGATTATATGAAAACATTTCTATATTGTAAATAACGCTACCTAACGCGGTGACGAAAACAAACGATAATAACGACGCAATTCAATGAAATCATTTAGCCCTTTAATTACTCGAACAGCGAGAGATCAGCACTTAGTTTCCTTTTTTCTATTATTATTATTATTATTATATAAGCAATTGATATTATTCTATTATTATTATATAAGCAATTGATATATAATTTAGCTTCATCTATTGAAGGTTTTGTATGTTTCAAAGAATTTCCGACAAAGGGTTAATTCTTTGCACTCCAGAGGCGTCTCTAGGTCACCAAATGACTTGACACAGCAAAACTGTAAACGTTGATATTTAATATTAAACTTTGTATAATGCATCGATATACGAAATATTGAAAGAAAATAGTTCTCTTCCTCGATGCATGAGATTTCTTAATTCAATCTAAGAAAATGTCTGTATCTCATCAGAAAATATTGAATGTTCCCGGTGAAAAACTTCTGGAGTGCAAAGGGTCAATATTGCACTTTCTTCGTTTCGCGTATTCTGCGCCTCAAAGTCGCGCGGCGTTCAACGTGTTAACCGGTATAGCCGACAAGCAATCCTCCGAGTTCCCCATGATGAATCGCCGAAATCAACGTCGGTCGGAGTCACGGTGAAAGGACAATCGAAGAAAAAAGGAGCAACGAACGAGCGCCTCTCGAGGACGTCGCTAGCCGTACAGCGCGCGAGTGCAACGCGCGCTTCTAACAGGCTTCTCGTTGCCAGACCCGCAACGGAGAAAGTTAATTTCGCATGGCCGTTGAACCGATATCGCGATTACGTAGGGGAAGCCGGAGAGTAATGCAACGACTATTATGCCGGGGCCTCGTCCGCTCCTCCCCGCGCTCGCGCGTGTCGTCCCAAGCGTATCGCCTGCGCGCGCTCTTCCCGGCCGTGCACAATTTTCCAACGAGGGATGAAACCGGTGTCCCTCGAAGATCCGCGCGTTTGTCTTTTATCTTCTCCGATCCCTTGAACCCTTGTTTTTTTCTCCGTGTTGTTGTTGTTGTTGTCGTTGTAATTCAAACGATACACCGTTGGCGATTCCGCGTTGTCCCGCGATCGACGGCGCGATACGAAATTACGCCGGCCGAATTAGAAAGCGGGAGGCGCGAACGAACGCAGACGGAGCGTGGCGGTGTCGCGTCAAAGTTTCGCGTAAATGGAAACGACACGGTTTTGGACGATGTCCAACGCTCGCGGCCGCGTTCCTCCGCGACCGCTGCCACCTCGGATCTTCGCCAAATTGACGTAACTTTACCGCCCCCGACGCTCCGCGATATTCCGTAATCGTTCGTTACCGACGTGTCTCGCCGTGCCCCCGAGACTTTCTTTTTGTTCGTTCTTTTATAGAGATATAACTATATAATAACTATATATATAGTTATGGTATTGATCCGTGTGCATGAAGTAGGTATGGGAGAATTCATAATTGTTATGGACTAGTCTAGTTTCACTAATATCAGTTTTGATTCCTTATAGATTAAATACATATTGGTTTTATCTGTAACTATTTTCGCTTTTAGATCGTTAGAATCAGTTACAAATTTCAAGCGTGCGTTCTTAATAATCAAAACTGATATATCCAGTATGCACTAAACCAATGCAACCACAATTAGATATCTCTTCGGTTCTCATAACGGTTTCACTGAAGACCAACACAGGAATCGTTCAAAAATCAAAGTAACCAACTCTACTATTTATATACCCAAATTTGAAGTGTGAAATCTCTCGATTGGTTCTTCGCGCGTCACTTCGTCAAGTCGCAGAGAGAAAGGAAACAATTGCTGGACTAATCACTCCGGCAAACGAACAGCTCATTCGCGATTTCGAAACAGATGTTACTTTAAACCGCTCCGATCCCCGGATCTTTCCTCTATTATCCTTTTTTTCTCGCGAAATCTCGAGGCGAACACTGCCGCATTCCATTCGCCGCGATTCCCCGTGTCTGCCGCCGCCGTTTTCCATCGGCCGAGCGAACTCGAACGCGCCGCGCGAATCGGTTCAGGATGATACGGTAGAAAGCCTACCCCCGATCGCCGCGAAACGAACGAACCTTATCTCGGGGCCGTATCTTAACACTTTTCTACCCGGAACAACGTTAATTGGTTTCCTCATGTCGACAAGGAAAATATTTAAATGGCCCGTGCAGAGAATTACAAAAGTTATTGCTACAATTTTCAACATTCCCCGGAATGCCCGACCAATTGGCGAGCCGAGAGCGACTTAACGCGTTGAACGCCGCACGGTTTTATAGAGAAAATACACGAAATGGAAAAAGCATATTAATCATTTTATTGAATTGCATTATTATTATTGCACATTCATCTAGCTGAATGTCACAAAATTAAGTAGCATTATTTGTAATGTAGAAATGTTTCCAAATAATCGTTTAATTGAATGAACTATAGTAATTCGATTTAGTTTGGGGTCACCCGCGACCCCCATGGCACTCAACGTGTCAACAGATTCTCAGCTGCGAGTCGCTCGCTCCGAGAAACTCGGCTGATCATCTATGACAGCGCTAATATTTTTCTGCTCGGAAGACTTACAATAGTTCCTTTCATGTACAGGCTGATTGGCAGCGATCTCGTTAAAGTTTCATGAGGGAAAAAGTAAAAGAAAGTAAAAGGAATTCTTCTGTGTTACTCGGATCTTCTTATCGAAACATAATTGTACATTAATAACAGCGTTGAAGCGTTTCATGGAGGATCGTGGAGTCGTTCGAGCGGCTGCGAGACTTTCGTGAGTTCACGTGCGAATATTATCAATATATTATTTCAAATAAGATCGAAACATCGTGGAGCACCGTTAATGCTCGCGCTTTAAAGAGCCCCGAGGGATCATTAGCGCAATAAACGAACGAAATTGGCAATCTATTCGCAGGTGCTCGCTAGGCGGTAGCCAGTGCTAAGGAGTCTATTAAGCAACCATTAGGTAAAGCGTTAATTAGGAAGCTCGAGGTAGCGTAACTGTTTCTGGAGGTCTTGAAGCGAGCGAGGCTCCTTAGTTGCGGATCAGGTTCCTCGAAAACTTGAGTGGGAGGCGCGAAATGGCCATCGCGATCGAGGATCGCGACAGGTCAGCGGAGATTAGTCACTGGATACCGGGTGGCATGGAATCGTGGAAGGTCCTTCGCCTTGGTTCCTTTCCGGTCGAGGACGGGGCAGGAAGATGGGCCGGGAACAAAGTGTTTGCCTCCACGACGGCTGAAAACTGCAAAGTAATTATTTAAACGGCGACACTGCTTTCGAATTAGTATTTGCACCGTCCGTGGAAAGAAGTAGTATAACCTTCGAACGAATGGGATCGGTGTTCTGGGAATTCTTTACGCAGAAAGCTTGTTATTCGATTTCAGAAGTTTCTTAAATTAATTGGACAAAGATCATTCTAACTTAGCTGAGATGTTTACTGTCTCTAGTAGAACAGTATTTATTTGAACGAATTGAATCGATGTTATGAACATGATTTGCTTAGGAGAATATTTTTAAGTATCGAATGTTAAATTAAATTATTCCTGATAACAGTCGTATTTATATTAATTAGATCAAATTATAATTCAATAATAAAATTGACGTGCTGATGATTTACAATATTTTGAAGTATCGAATGTTAAATTAAATTATTCTCCATATCAACCGTGTTTATATTAATTATATTAGATTATAATTCAATAATAGAATTAAGGTTCTAACAATGTTTGAAACATCTGAAATCAGCAGACGTAGAGAACGTTTCCATTCGCTCGGATGAACCGTTCGATTTCGATTGACTATTTTTTTCCACGAACAGCACGGTCGCATTTGCGTCGATCCGAACCTTGAATGCCAAACGTCGTGATAATAACTATGCAAAATGATCCTAATGGAATTACACAACGCGTACCGTTGCATCACGCAATGTTTGTTAATCGAACTAACGCCGGACAGAGCAGCAACGCTGGCGTACGCTACTTTCTCCTCGGGCACTGATTTTCCGTGCACAATGCCAGACCGGCCGTAAGTCGGAGCGCACGAATCGAAATGGCGGTCGAGGCGGAAACCGGTGCACCGGGGAAACGATTAACGGGAACACCGGATAGCTTTAACTCGAATCGCGGCGCGTGTTCAATAGCAATCCACGAGCAATTTATATTCCAGTAACCTAACGATATCGTTTCAAAAATTCGTTCCCTAATTAACACCAGAACTACCGTACTAGTCAAACTGACTGGTTCCGATCTTTTCGCTTCGCAATTATTGATATCTTGAAAGCAGAATATTCGAAGTGACGTGAAAAATGAAGTTTCACTTGAATACTATAACGAATGTTTGGAGAAACCAAAAATAATCTACTGTTACAATTTGTATAGAGTTTACGTATCAGTTATATTAAATTCTCGGTAGATCTAGTGTTAAAGAAACATCGTCCCAAGACATTCTTTGAAGAAAGTGCAAGAAACGTACATATTCTCATCATTTTTAACAGATTCCTTTTCACCCTGTGCACTCGAAAGTCTACCACTAAATATATTCAACATTTTCTAGTCGGATCTAAAGAACACTCATTGAAACTGACTTAACGAGAAATCACACATAAATTAATACTAGATTTACAGAACTCGTCGATATAACGGATACTGAATGTTTTAACCCTTTGAAGATTCTTCGAAATATACGAAACCTCCAGCAGATGAAGTTAAATTGTATATCGATTGCTTAAATAATAGAAAGAAAGGAAATTATACACTGATCTCTTGCTGTTTGAGTAACTGAATCACTTTTTTGCGACTTACTTTTCCAAATATGGACACTTGATCTCGAAATGTCGACATTCGTCCGCAGAGGGTTAAACATTATTTAGTAGCAAGTCGATTTTAATTCGTGCAATTATGCAAACACGCATAATACGCTTTGAAGCTAAAATATTCATGTCTATAGAAATAAACACGTAGTTTTCAAGGCTCAATAGAACAAAGTGTAGAACAAACGTCTACAAATCCAGCGTTAAGGAACAAAGCCGTTCTATTTCACGTGTAAACGCATAACACGAAGTTCAATATCAAGTATCGAACTTCACGACTCTCCAATATGAAATCAAACGTCGATTAAAATTGGCTTCTCAAGTGCAACGATTAAATCCATTCGCTAATAAGCTCCGCAACGTATGAAACTTTGATTAAACCTTCCACGATGCATCTTTCAAAGGCAACCTGGTTTCTGTTCATCCTCGCTCTCCCTCTATTAATAAACCAACCGTTTTTACCCTGAATCTTATTTGCCTAATCGAAATCGGGTTACGGGAGATCAAATATTTACGCGGTTCGAACAGCTGACTGCCTGCCGAGTTCCGGTGTGGATCCAGGGGGCAGTATTAGGGTGGTGTCGCAACGCACCGCGAACTTCTCGGCGAATCGCCTCGAATCCGTCGAAGGAGACGGGCAGATCTTCAAACGAATGTACACAGAGGAGAACCGTTTCGAGCGCGTCCATTGAAACAGGCTTTCCGGTGAAAAGCCGTTCGTCTGAATGCCTCGAGGATTCGAAAAGGAAGCGTCGCGTCGGTGTAGAGGCCCCATAAAAGCGCGAATTCGCTAGTCCGCGAGAGCGGGCTGCGTGGATCTAAATATACACGTCGGTGGTGACGGTTACGAAATGTCAAGCAGACGCCGCGGAGTACTGGGTCAGTCGGGAACGGCCGGTCTCGAGGAAAGACGACGCGGCGCAATCGAATCGGAGCTCGCGGAAACGAGCGTTTAACGCTGTTCCCACCGCGACCAGTAAAATAGACTGTTTTTAGAATTTCGATTAGAATCTCCTGTAGACAACGTAATCGAATCGCCTTCACGACTTTTCCTAAAATATGTGTATAAAACAGTTTTCAATATTCACACCTTTTGTTGTTTACTTTCTGAAAATTTGTAGTCTGTCTTACCTACCACGACCGGTCATTGTATCGGTAGAACGATTTATATCTTTTTGTAATAGTATTCTCTCAAAGACTCAGTTCAGGTACTATAAAGTCGTTACAAACGAAAGGTAATGTCGAATTGGTTGTTATCTTCATTCTATATTAAAAAATATCAGTCATTTGACTGATCCGTGGATTTCAAAGAGGAAAATATACAAAATGAAAGAATATAATATTAATTCTTTGGGGACGAAGATGCTTGGAAATATACAAAACATTCAACAGACGAAGTAAATCATATGCCAATTGTTTAAATAATAGAAAAACCAGAAACGTGCTGATCTCTTGCTGTTTGAATAATTAAATCATTTATTGGCGACTTAGTGTCCCAAATATAAACATTAAAGTCTTCGAAACGTCAACATTTCATCTCGCCGAAATGTCGACAAATCATTTGATTGAATTGCATTGTTATCGTTGCACGTTCTAGCTAAATGTCACAAAATTAGGTAGCATTATTTGTAATATAGAAACGTTTCAAATTATAAAATAAATTGATTTACTGAGAAGCATCTGTTTCAATCATTGCAAGATAAAGGAAACAGCGATGGATTATTTAACATTGAATTACCGGACGCGTCAAAATGATATATTCCTGATTTCTTCATTTTGCAATTATTATAAAGATAACAGATGTTTCTCCGAGAAATGTTAAGGAAATTGATTTAGCAATACGCAAACCGAGTTATAAATCAATCAAAGTCTCGATAGATACACTCTCGAAGTTGCTACGTAGAAATGTCGAAACATCGATTTAACTGGTCGGTAGGTTAGCGATAATTATTTAAATCGATGCTTATCGAGCTGTCTTGGATATTTCTTATGGATCTCGTTACTAACAATTTCAGAAGCATAAATCAGAAAATCCAGTTGAAATATCCACGTTTCTTCTCCTTTCGAAGTTCGTTTCATAAACAGCGTCCTCTAGTTCCTCATTAAAAACTTACAATACACCGAACTGCCCCTTTCCAATCAAGAAACAAGAAAGAATGAAAACGAGTAAACAACCAACAAGTAAACCCCCTCAATTCCACTCTGCGAGCTGCCACTTTCAAATGCCAAAGCCAAGAAAACCAATTCCATCCGACAGGCAGATACAATCGACCGTCAATCCAAGGTATCCATCGCGAACAACTCGAAACTCCGAAGAAATCTCGAAAAATCGAGGTGAAACTAGACCTACCGATCGCTGTGGGATCGAGGAATATCAGCTACAGCAACAAATGAATCCAGAGTCTCGAGATTCCCCGGAATACAAGGGAACAAAATTCCGCTCGCCTCGGTATCCGCTCAAGGCCTTAGAAAGCCGCGGACAGCGCGGCGGAAAAGGAGCACGGCCCGTTCTCCGGTAGCGTATAGTCCGCGCTCCACTATAATTTTCCCGTAATGCTTTTCGTCCAGGTCCGCGGAGAGTAACAAAAACTGATAAACGGATACTTTCTAACCGGCAGCGACGGCGCGCGCGCGCGCGCGATGAAGGAGAGCAACTGCGCAATTCTCGCTAGGCTCTTTTCCCCGTTGCGTCGCGGCTGCGAGAGCGATTCCGCGTCATTGGGCCAGCGGGGAAATTATTGGGGAAAATTCGGTTTCGTCGGAAACAAACCGGCGAGAGGGAATTATCGACGAAAGTCGTCGGCTCTCGACCGGCGCGCGAGCTGCGCAAAATGCTCTCGCCCGTCTCGGAATATTACTCGGTTCGCCAAGGTTGCCCGTTCGCCGAGAGCTCACGACCCGACAGCGTTACACACGTGCGCGGATGTATATCTGCCACGCACTTACAAAGACGGCCGCGCCTCCGCGGAGGGACGCCTATTTACGATACAGCCGCGATCCGCGAGCCTAGGAGTACCTAACCGCGCGCGAGATCGGCGTCTTCCAACCTTTTGTGTCTCTGCTCTCTGCTCTCGAACACGATTAACACTAGAACTACAAAGGATTTAACCCTTTGCGGTCCTGTGTCGAGTCAGACTCGACATTCTATTTTATTGCATCTACTCGTTTTAACAATTTTTTCTATATTTATCTGTATCACAATTGAACCATTTAGAGGTAACATTTCAGTGACTTCTAAATATTCTTGAATAAATAAATAGAACGTCATGTTAAGCTGTAATTGAATGAACGACGACGTGAACCTCAGACTGAAAAATCAAGAGCACGTAGTTCCTGTTTTTTCTATTATGTAAGCGGTTGATATATAATTTAGCTCCATGCAGTCGGAAGTTTCTTATTAGAAATATTTAACATTTTTTGACGAGGCGAAGACG